AGGCAGCAGGTGATTTGGTATTGAGCTCCAGGGTAACAGATATGTGGAGTCAGGAAAGCGCTGTGTTAAGAGGCAGTTTTGCTTAATTACCCGCTTTCAACTCCACTGCAGCACAGAGCCACTTGCAGAGAGGAAGAGAGAGACAGAGCTGTAGACTGGTTTTCTCTCAGCTGACACTCGCTGTGCTATCCGATGCGTGTTTTTGTGTTTCTTACTAAAGCTGTCTTTTGCAATGCTGTGTGCTCAGCCATGTATAGACTACAGAGCTTGCCCAAACTCAGAACTCTGCTTGGCTTCAAACAGGGAGGTAAGTTCTACTTTGAGATGGATTAATGTAAGTGTTTGATGTCTCACTGGGGTATTGCAAGATTACTGCACTCTTTTCTTCACAAGTTCAAGTTTTTAGATCTTGGAACATGCTATGTGCAATGTTTCCTACCTTGTGGGGCTTTCAACAACTCTGATTTTCTTAATATTTAGTTGCTGCAACAGAAAACTGGCTGCCTAACTGCAGTATATGGCTCAAACAGATTAATTTAACAAATTTATTTATCTCACTTACATTGCATTATCAAAAACATCAGTGTGCTTCTACCCTTAAAGGTAAAAAAAAAAAATCCTGTCCTACAGAATGTGTGTTAATTCAATCTTTCTGATGCAGGTAATCAAAGTTTATAATGAAGATAACACCAGCAGAGCAGTAGAGGTTCCCAGTGACATCACTGCCCAGGATGTATGCCAGCTGTTTGTTTTGAAGAACCGTTGCATTGATGACCACAGCTGGACTCTTTTCGAACACCTCTCCCATCTGGGAATAGGTAATAATTTGTTTTTTGGTATCATTTTGTAAAAAAAAAATCTGTAAGAAGATAATCTCAGAGGCACACTGCTTCCTGTGCTGTACTGTATAGTATATGTTATCTGAAAAAATATTTCTTTCATATACTGTATGAGATATAGCTCTGTTACCCATATTTTTTGCAGTGAACCTTTAGCAAAGTGAAAGTGTCTTGCAGGCTTCATTTCAATCTAAAACTCATGATGAAATGTTAAAATATCATGTGAGAGTGCCAGATAATGTACTAGTATTTATTGATATGGGTAAGGTTTGCTTGGTTTTATGGGAGGAGTGGGGGTAGAGTGGAGTGGTGAAAAGTGTAGATCTACACTCATTGGGCAGTTTGTTGTTGTTGGTACACATAGCTGAACCCATTGCAGTGTAATGGGACAGTCCTGAATTAAATCCTCCCTTTGTGAAAGTGATAATGTTGATTGTTTTGTTCAAACTGTGCTAAGAGAGGTGTTGAAAACATTCCTTCATAAAAGCAGGATTTACTGCAGTACTCTTATATCAGAGCGAACTAGACAGCACTTAGAGAGCACAAACCTCCGCCAAGGCAGATCAGTTTCCCCATAATGCCATTCTAACTAAAAGCAGTATTGCAATTACAGTTCAACCCTCATAATATGACTCCTCAATCATGAAAACCTATCACTGGCATTTGGAATCACATTGGTGTCATTATTAGTTTGAAAACAATTCAAGAACAGCAATATTTCACTAACAATATTTCAGGACATAGCGCAGCATCTTTTGAAGATACTGAGTCAGCAGTGCTTAAGCCACAGTTTGATCTTAGTTGCAAGTCTGTAGCATTATTTGCTGTCTCACAGTAGCAAGTTTTCCATGAGCTTGTTAAATTTCAACATTCCAGATCAGCAGATCCAGAATATTACTTGGATCCAGATCATATTTTGGTGGGGAGTAGATCTTATGTGAATGTTTTCTTGCAATTTTTGTCCAAGCATTCTAGGTATTATGCATGGAGTTAGAAGCCAAAATTTTGAAATTGACCCTACTGTATATCATAGTGGTGATGAACCCTTTAAAGTATTTCTGGATATGGATAATGATCTAGATCAGCACCAAAATCTAGATTTGCGTGTTGGTTGATTTACTTTTTCAGATAAATGTTTGGATTAAATGGGTCGACAGAATATCCCTAAGCTAATAATATAAGAACCCAGTGAATTGTGACAAAATAAAAACGAATATCTCAAAGCTCAGTGCTCTTATTCTAATTCAGGAAAAGGTGAATGTTTGGAGATACATTGTTTTCACATTGTTTAGGCTGTAGACTAAGTTTTTTGAGTTTGTTTGCCTAATACCCAGAGTTTATATTTATAGGGCATAGCTATAAATACTTATTCAGTTTAATTCTTTAAGGCCATATGCTATGTTTTACAGTTGTTTTAACAGCCATGTAAATCATGACTAGTTACTTATTGTCTGATGACATTTTTGCCCTCATGTTGTCAGTATATTTTGTTCAACAGTGCTTCACAAAAAAGGTTTCTATTAATTCAAAATCATTTTTACTTCTAGGAAATAATTAATGTTTATGTTGTGCTGCTTGACTTGAGAGCTGTGTCCTCGGACAGAGGTTACACATTGCCTCAGAGTTAATAATCAAACTCCATGCCTCGAAGTTAACCAAAATAACGCTTGTCAGAAAATCTTTTGCAGATGTCATTGCACTGTGAATTTAAGAAAATTTCAAGTTTTATCTATATTTAACTTTGGTTTGGCATTATAGCTGATACTATTGGATCTTTATCTTTTATCCAGAGGCCAGAGAAAAATAAGTTAGCCTGTCATCCATTTTCTTTCCTCCTGGTCTCACTAGAAAGAACAATTGAAGACCATGAGTCTGTTATGGAAGTGCTGTCAGGCTGGGGGGTGGACACCGACAGCCGGCTGTATTTTAGAAAGAATTATGCTAAATATGAATTCTTCAGGAAACCCCTGGTGAGTTTGTGACGACTTTCTATTTAATATATGGTGATGAGTTCATAGACATCATTTTGCATTTGGTATCCTCTCTTTGAACCAACCCACCTGTTTTCCCACCAGTGTGTGGGTTAAACAGTGTTGTAATAAGTGATACTGCTGTCACATCGGTAGGACTTTTTCCCGGATCACATGGTCTCTATATGCAGTGAAACCAACGGGATGGTGGATCACTCTCAGCTTATACAGGTATCAAGGTCTTGTGTTTACAGTGCACTCTCTTATCCCTTGGTTGGCTAGCTTCTCAACCTTGTTTAAATGTGCTGTGCCACCTTGAGAATCTACTGTGCACACACACACACACCTATGAATAAATATTTTTCTATCCGATACAGACATTTCTTAACTCCAGCACGTGTCCAGAGATCCACGGACACCTCCATGCCAAAGAGCAAAGCAGAAAGTCTTGGAAGAAGTTTTATTTTGTGTTGCGAAGGTCTGGGCTTTACTTCTCCAACAAGGGAACTTCCAAGGTCAGTAAAGCAAAATGACTTGTCAAATACAGTAAATGTATGCATTTTAAGAAAATCAAATGCAATAATGAACCAGATAACTATGTGAGCTGTTTGTTGCATACAGCTAAAACCATTCTGCTGCATGCAGTACTATTTTATTAGAAAATTGCATTAGATTTTCTTTGCTTGAAATAAATGCACATGGTCCTTATTTTACACAGTAAACACCCAGGATAAAAAAAACTGCATGAAACTCTTGTCCTCATGTGTGAGGATACATCCTCTTTTTGTGCACCACAGGTTCACTCGTTCATCCTCTGTATATATCTCACCTGCTGCTCATTGTCAGAGGGCAGTGGAACAGGTTGAGCTTGATTTTCCTTAGGTCAGCTAACATAGCAGCCAGGCAGAAACAGTGCTCTCAGTGCTGCTGACAAGTGAAGCTTATACTCAGGCACCAGCCATGCCAACGCAACCACTTCTCAACTGCTTTCATTTTCTACAACAGTAGGCCTTTTGTTGTCAATGCAGACTTTGGTATGGCTCCTACGTTTTACTCTAGAATGTTTCCTATTCATCTGTAGTCTTGGTCAGACGCATTGCTAGTCAGTCAGCACAGACAGTAACAACTGTGGCTTTACTTTAAATAAGGAAGTGGGACCTGTGTGTCACATGAAATCAGAACAATGGTAGTCTTTGTACTTTTTTTTTTTTTTTTGGAAATGTATCTCTGGCACAATGTGGCTTTTGATACTTTCTCAATGCAGCCCATGTCAATATGTCTAAATGTAGCCTTATCTCTTTCATTACATTTATATGTAAACCACACCCTGAGACACTGATAACACAGTTTTATAGATTTAGACATAAATCTGCACCCACCTTTATCCTAAATGAACTAATATGGTTTCTTTGCCTGAAACATTATGTTTTATGAATGGTTTAATAAAAATACAGTATAGTATTTATCCACTGTTTGGAGCTTTAGTTTTCTAATAGACCATGTCCAGTTCATTTTTAAAGGTACAGTAAATTACTTTCTTGTGTACTATAGATTTTTGTAGTGTTCCTCAATATTAGGAACCACATCATAATATAAATTAAATGGGCAATACTCAGATTCTGGCTCACTCATTAGGACAGACCTTACATGTGTCCTCCAGTACTGTACAACAAATATCCAGGCATGTGGTGGAAATGAATATTAGACGCAACTCTTTGATTTGACGGTCCATGAATGCCCATCCCTATAATGTCCTATTGTTTTACAGGAACCAAGGCATCTCCAGTTCATTGCCGACTTTAGTGACAGCGATGTCTACACCGTCTTGTCAGCCAAAAAACTACATGGGGCACCTACAGATTATGGCTTCTGTGTCAAGGTACTGTCACTTTCTAGAAATGCCCAAACAGTTTAAAATAAGTGGAAGCAGAGTACTGAATTCTGGCATGTTGAGCTCCCTTTGTCATCATCTGTCTACTCTCTCCAGTCATCAAAATGTGGTTCAGCTCGGGACCTGAAGCTGCTTTGTGCGGATGATGAACAGACCAGGACCTGCTGGATCACAGCCATGCGCTTGTTAAAGGTTGGCTTGCTGACCACCATCATAAGAGGAGGAATGCTGAGTCAGTGTTAGAATCAGAGTTTTGCTTTGGGAGGAGGTCAAGAGAAACTACTGAGCAAGGCTGGATTAGCGCTCCCTCTCTTGATAGCAGTAGCATGTTTCATTGTCTAGAGATCGGCTGGATACAGTTTAAAACGTTAGTCATGCTCCTGTTAGTCTATAAATAACAAGGGACTTGTTGGAAGAATCTTTATTTCACCAAGGAGTTTCAAAGGCCTATATATAAAACATTTGGGATTAGAATGTAAAATGTGCACTTTTTTTGTATTTCAGTATGGGATGCAACTGTACCAAAACTTCATTCAGCCATACCAAAAACAAAAAGCCTCACCAATGGTAAGCTGAAGCTCTTTTTGTTACCTTGTTTTGTAACTCACTTGAAACTTAGGTGGTTTAAAAAATATATATTTTTTAAGATGTATTAACAAGTATTTATATAGAATTGAATCAACTGACTGCATTATGGAAAGCCAGTTGATTGTAACCCACAGTACCATGCAAAAGGTTTGCCTCAGATGAGCCTTTTAGCCACTTTTATGTTAACATACACGAGTGTAGCAGCATGATTGAATAGGACAAATGAGGCACCTTCTGTGTGTTGATGTACAATGTGTTGGTTAATGTAGGTCCCAGAATAGCCTCAGACTCTACCAGGATTATTTTTGCAGCAATGCCTGACATCTATTTATGGCATTTGGACATGTTCACGAACCCTCTGCTTTCTAAAAATACACAGTGATCAGCTGTTCTCAGATTTACCAACTCATCACCTCTTCTCTGCTGACATGAGCTCATACTGTATGTGACCAACAACCTCGCCAAGAGACTTGACTAGAAAGATAAGACTACATAAATCTGCCAAAAGCGGGGTCAGTTAGCTGAATCTTCTGTGGTTTACCTGACCGATTTAGCTGAACATGCTAGATTACACTTCATAGGTTCACACTGAAAAGAAAACAAAAGACATATTTAACCCAACACTACTCATAGTAAAAATTTTTAAGTGATAATAGGTATCTTTACATCACTGGGATAGGGGTAGAGTGGATAAGATGAATCCGAATTCCCCTATTCTCAAAGTGAACACTTCTCATTTGTTTTAACTACTCATTTACATTGCAGGTAGTAGCTGGTAGTGGAGTGAATGTGCTAATATAAAAGCTTCTTGTTAATCCCGATAAGAAAAATTTTCTTCAGTTATTTAGAGCCACTTGCTATATGGCAGTTTAAAGGACTAACATGTGCCCATGTATCATTCCTTTCAAAGCCAGTCTAATCCCTTTTCAGTGGTGATTTCTGTCCGGAATTATCTGGAAATAATGAAAGATGGAGTCATGTAACTCAGACACTAGATGGCAATGCAATACTACAAGATAGCAAATGTCAGCTTGCTTCCTTTCCACTGTACTCAAAGGAAATCAAAACAAAAGTAGCATCTTGGCTATTTTGTAGAGTGTAATACATTTTTTTCCATCTTTTCTGTAAATGTGATAGTGACATGGGAAATGAAATCAAATATGAGGACAAATTTAAACATACATGATGGATAACTATCATTTTAGAGAAGCATCTCTGAGAACTCATTGGTGGCCATGGACTTTTCTGGCCAGAAGAGCCGGGTGATTGAGAACCCATCTGAGGTGCTGTCTGTGGCTGTAGCGGAAGGTCTGGCATGGAGGGTAAGTCATGGACCTTGGTCAAAAATGTTCTCTTGCTCAAAATCAGCCTTTTAATGAACAAGATTCCCAATATTGAAAACAAGAAAACGGGATAAAGTGGAGATCTTAAATGAGCTAGAATAACAAGACAAGAGAAACAGAATAAATTAGCTATGCTTTAACCCAATATTGTTGCCATAACTCATTTTTACATCAGAGGAAAAGCTGCCACCGTCTGAGTGGTCATGGGAGCCCCTCCACATCCCAGAGCGCAGTGTCAAACCTAGGTTTGTGGGACACATTTGTATTATTTTATTATTCTGTATGGACACAATTGAAATAAATCATGTGGAACATAGCGCCTCTCTTTGTGCTTCAGCTCTTCACTTGACTCAACCGTGGTTCCACAGCAAACTGTCTCGGGATGAGGCGCAGCGTCTAATCACTCAACACGGTCTTATTGATGGGTAAGCAGCTACAGTATACGCTTCATTGGTTACAATATGTCATTCAAAACATCTGGGTTATTGGTTGTAAGAAGCATTTAGTGTACGAGCCTTACACTGCTTTTTTTTTTTTTTAACTATATTTGCATTTATGAAGGATAAGCATGGTAGTGCCTTTCCCTGTTAAAGGCATTTATTGTAAGTTATATTAAAATTCTTTGCACAAGAGAAGTCATGTATTCAACAAATAGCTGACATTTCAGTATTGCAATTGTGTGGTGGGTATGTATAAATATAATAATAACTGTGAATTACAATAAGACTTGAGGAGTTCTAAAAAACATTAGATCTGCATTACAACTGCATAAAATTACAGTGTTAATGTCTGAACCTATCTTTACATATTTATGTCTGTCAGCATTCTGTTACATTCTGTTAGCAAATGTTTCAAAAGCCATAACAAGAGGGAGAGAGCAGTATTTTCTAGTGCCCATAACAGATTGAATTTTCTTAAAATTGGGCACAAGTGTGGACTTAAAACAAGAGTGAAACATTTTTTGCACTTTTGTTTTCAGAGTATTTCTGCTGAGGGACAGCCAGAGCAATCCTAAGACATTTGTACTGTCACTGTGTCACATGCAGAAAATCAGACACTTTCAGATCTTACCTGTGAGTACAATGCACTGTTTGGATATTCAGTTCTAAAATGATTTTCATTCATCTTGCAATAACCACCTTCCAAATTTTGGCCTCATGTTCATCAAGTCACTTGTACGTGTATGCACATGTAGGTGGATGATGAAGGGCAGTCATTCTACAGTTTGGATGATGATCACACACGGTTCACTGACTTGATCCAGTTGGTGGAGTTTTACCAGCTAAATCGTGGGGTGCTGCCCTGCAAGCTCAAGCACCACTGTGCCCAGATCACCCTGTGAGCACGGGGCCCCAGAGCCCACATGCACCTTAACTCCAGGGCCTTTCTGGACAAAACACTCCCAGTGTTCACGTGCCTTGAAAATATGCACTAACTGAACAACCATGCAGACTGAAACCACTGTTATCATCCACTAGAGCCCACATTCATACTGTGGTACCTAGTCTGTCCTTGTTTTTCTTTTTCAGAAAAAGCTGAATTTTACATTAGACTGTAAAATACTGACTACAGGTGCTGAAGGTGAATTTTGCCTGGTGAACATTATTCATCAACCCTGTAATGTGCACATACTGTATGTGGCCCAAGATCCGATGGGAAAAGTTCAGTCTAACCTAACAGTATACAACATCTACTGCTGTATATCGCAAAACTTAACGCATACTATGAACAGCATTTGATTCTACGACCATAGTGATACCAGTAGAAGAGAGAAGCTTTTTTTTTTTGGTAAGTGACATACAGCAGCTAAAATTCAGGTTTTCACTGAAAAAAGATTCAGTAGGATGTCTACAGTATGTACTGTATACGATATATACAGTACCTGTCAGTTATGGTCTGGCAAAGGCACATTTGTATGTTTGCAACCACATCATTCTAGGGATTGTTGTACACAACACCTCTGTCCTGTTAAATTTGAGTATAAATAAGCTATCATACTTTTCATTGTTAGTGTGCCTCTAAGTATTCAGGTTTTTATTTTAGAGACAATTATTGTTGTTTTCTATTATGTAAAATGGCCTCTCAGGAAGTGTTACTGTGTGTACCCTGTAAGCTGGACTGAGACTGAGGTAGAGAGAATAATATGGGATAATATACAGGTGGAGAGGTGGCACACAACCTTGCTAGCCTACACTGTGCATTCATTTTAAATATATGTGATTAAACACAAAAATAGCTGTGAGCTTTCATGAGAGCAAGGACAGGGAAATATATATAAAACATTAAGATGGAAATCAAAAATACTGTATGATATTATACTGATTTTGATCATATTTGAATTCATTGTATATTGAAATTTAGTTTTATATTTTACCAAGATTCAGGTACAGCTAGCAAAACCTGGGTTGCTTGTATTTTGATGTTATTACCACTGCTATGGGTGTAAAGTGTTGAACATTTTGGTTCTCAAAAGACAATAATGCTTTTTAAAAAGCTTGCCAAAAGTCACTAAATCACCTGTATGACTGAAATGACCATCTTGTGTGTCTTATTTCACTTATTTTTCAGCTGGACAACACACACACACACACACACACATATATCATTATCATCATTTTGTTTGGTCACAATAATCCTGTAGTGAAAATCTGATCTTGTGATAGCTCTAATAAATATACACAAAAATCTATAATGTATGACTTACTGTATTGTCACTTTTAGGGGTTTCTGCCTCCTATAGACTGGCAAAATTGTAGATTTTTCATTAGACAGTCATTGTCACATTTAAACCCACATTACTGAAGGTTTCAAACATATTATATTGTCAGCACTGCTATTCAGTAGTTCACTGTGCAGCACCATAAACTCCTAACTTCAAAGCCTAAATAAGCTTTGCTAAGGCAATAGATCATCAGGCTAATAAACTCTGCCTTTATTTAAAATCTATCAGTATATATTATGGTCTTTATTCCTCATTAAATAGGACAAACATGGTAGCCATATAAATATAATGACAGACGTGATATATAATTCTAAATGAAATGACTACCTGAGCCATCTCATCAGCACACAGTGGGGTGCTTCTCTGCTCAGAATGACGTTCAAAGCAATTAATTCATGATTTTTTTAATGGGATCCAGCAAACAGTTAAATTTAGTCCCACTATATAGCCTGTGTGTGGAGCACATTAGCCTAACATTGTCAAGTATGATTTACTGGATTCTGTGAGCGGTATACTGGTAATGTGTCCTCCATAGCACCATCACATAAATAATGTTTATGACCACTAGATGGTACTAGAAGCATTTTGCTTTTGGTTGTCCAGGTTTATATTTGAAATCATAATGTGTCTAGTGCAATTTAAATTACATAATGCATATAAAATCTGTCAAAGATGGATGTTGCGCTAAGGTTAAGTTACTTTAAAGTTGGGCAGCTAAGTCATTATTGGTATTGAGCATATTACGTGCATATACAAAGAATGATCTGAGAATGCACCAAGAAACATGAATTCATAAATGGGAATAAGAAAGTGTATTTAACAGTGATACTATCAACAGTCCCTATGTAACTGTTGTTACTCTGATGAGGAGTAAATTAATATGGCAAGTGCAAGTAATGAATTTGATGTAATCATATTTTCATTTACATTAGATTTTTGGTGCTGTGTAGTATTTAAGAAAAAAAATGTCTATTTGACATGAATAATATGATTGTGGGTCTGTGTGCAGCTGTAAATGGCAGAATGTCTTGTCTTGGGGCATCTGTGTTAAAAAATCTTCTCAGTTGTGTTTCAGACACAAAGCCCCTATACCTCCCCTGCTGTACTTCAGAAACACATTTTGAAACAGCGTTCACATCCATGGGAGATGTGCGCACACAGAGAAGTCTTAAATGGACCCCTGCTTCCGAGATCTTGTGCTAAATGTTGTTTTGGATGTATTCCTGCCATTGATCGGAGTCTGGCTGCGGGGGGAGAGATGGCAGCTGGGAGAGACTGCGCTTTCTTTAATGAATTCATCCAGTCCAAACGGCCTGTGGATACAGTGGTTCTCACAGTAAAGAAAGCCTCTCTCTGCTCTGTCTTGGCCCTCATGAACAACCACCACTGTTTGAAACACTTCACACCATTACATTGGACTTACTCCTGCCCGCACTCTTACTCTAATAACTTCAGGTTTTGTATTCGAGAGCTGTCAACTTCACTCTCTTGCTCTTGTCTTAAATGCCCCACTTGTAGTATTTCCCTACTCTGTTTTCAATTATCTGGCTTCAGTTTACCGGCAGGTTTACGGATTTTACAGCACCTATGTTAAATTAGGTAAAGTCTGGACTGTGGTTTACTTTGGGTAACATTAGACAGCTCTAGTGTTGTTTGTTGCTTTTTAATTTGTTTTTATAATAATGAGCAGTCACTTTTTATTGACACTGGTGAGAGAGGTTACAGCCAGGAGAGGTAATGCACATGGTTGGTTTTTGTCCTATATTTCGTTATGTACCTATAGTATAAAGCAAAAATTAACAAGTACTGCAGTATGTTTCCCTCCCTTAAAAAAGTGATGCAATCCAGTGAATAGTACAGCCTCATTTAAAACTAATTGGAAATCCAAATGTGTTTTAGTTTGATAACTGCAGACCCAGGCTTTGTGCTGATTGTATGTATTTTGCAAATCTGTATTATATACTGTATCTAATCTAATTGTATCTAATGTTAAATGATTGGTGACAGTTTTGGAGCTGAAAAGGTTCAAAAATTACTATTATTATTATTATTTCTAAATTTGTACTTTCTATTAAACATGAAGGCACTGTGGCTATTGGTTGCAAATTATTCAATACTGTATATCCAAATGACCCACAATTCCCCCCAAATACTTTAAATGCAATAGAGCGCAGTCTTTATTTGTCATTAAAATGATAAAGTGATAAAAAGATAGATTAGGGATTTTATGATGCATAAAATCTCTAAGCAGTTGCACACTGCTTGATACTCTGGATATTTTCTCCATATATTTTCAAAATGCACTTTCAGAGGTTGACATGTCTTGGTCATATGCAGTTAAAAATTCTTCTGTGTGTATTAACACTGTGTTGAATTTTTTAAAGATAATATTATGGGGTTGTAAAATGTATAAAATTACACCCAACGACTGCAGTAACAATAATGATACATTAACTGTAAAACAAATCTACTGCTACCATTCAGTTGGTGTCTCTTACCACACTGTATGATATTTTACAAGAACATGGTCGTGCTGTGGTGTGAAAGGGATTTTCTTGGTGTATTGAGCATCTTTGGTAATGTATTATGTCTCAGATAATTGCCCAGACAGTGCTTGCTGTATAAGTCGCCTTTCTAACCTCTGATATATTTTTCTGGAGGTCTTGGAACTGGCAAATGGTAAGTGCCAAGCTTTGTTAATTACAAGGATAACACATGCACTTGTCAAATAATGGATGTGGTTTGCAATTTCAAGTTTTAATAATCAATTACTGGCTGTAATTCTCTGTGGAGTCACAGGATAGTCATTAATTCTCAAAAGGCGAGACACACTCAACATAGTGTTTTTTTTTTTTTTTTGAAAGCTCTATTCTTAAATATATAAGGGAACAGAGTCTGCTTTAATCCAGTGCATGTTGTTGCCTTATTAGAATGTAAAGTAGCTCAATTATACCTAGCTTGGAAAATAACTGTTAAAGACGGTGAGTGATGACTTGTCATGCGAATGCTTATTTCTACAGGAACTGAGACAACAAGGATTAGAGTAGATGATTTGTTACAGTAATACTGCGGATCATTTCTTAAACAAACTAGTGCTTGAAGTTCTGCATAAAACAGACATATCTGTCTTTTGTTGTTTACCCTGAAACACCTCTGTAACAGGCCCCTTTGATCATAGTAAACAGATGTGGTGGTATCAGTGTGTTGTTTTTTCCCTATACAGCAGGGTTCCTGTTATTGTATTTTCAGTCCACCTTCAGTTCTGAAACATTGCAGAGATTCTTCCTGACCTTGAGAAATTAACATGGGAGTAGTGGCTTTGCTCTGAGGGAGCCTTATAGAGGCCACGTCCCCTCCTAATCCCCAGTTGGAAGGCACACCTCTACTGCTCAGACAAAATAGTAACATCCTGGCAAGCCGAGCGTTCACGTTATATCAGTCGACATCCTGATATAAGACATAAAAACATTTCCTTTCATTCAGATTATTTAATGTGGCAACATTCTGTTTGTCACAGATACAGGTTGTAATGGTGTATAGCGTTTGTGCTTGATAATGTGTGTGAGAGGGAGTGAGACAAGGAGAGAGGGAGAAATGAGTTTGGCCCTGCACAGATGAACAAACAGTGAATCTGAAGTACAGCTCCCTGTGTGGCTGCCCACCAGCTGAACAACATTAAGGCAGCCCTCCATGTAAAACCTGCTCACTTCTCCCACAAACACTTGAGTTTGGCAAACGGGCAGCGGCTCAGTGGGGAGGAGCTCTCACTGGAAAGCAGACAGTGAGCTGTGGACAGCGGGGAGACGTAAACCACAGCTTCTGGTAGTGATGGACTGATGTTTTAGGTGATCAAAAGGATGGATAAGAAAAGGAAAACGACAGGGGTAAAACCAGCAGGGGGTCTCGGCGAGGGAAACATTTTGGACACTAAAGGAAGAAAAACATGAAAAGCAAAGTAAAGCTGAGATGTTTGACAGTGAAGCACTCGGGGTGAATATCACCGTACACTGTAGACATAAACCCAAACTCTCCCTCTCCTGTGTTTACTATCATTCATACCTTAACATGTAGTGCAAAGAAACTTCAAAACAACATGATATATATCATGGGGCAATTTACTTCAAGGTTACAGAACAGCTCTTAGGATGATATATTGTCCTTGCATTTTTCTGCAAAATAGGTCAAAATGTTCACAGTGGCACCCACGGATACACGTTTGCGCATGTGCACAAGCACATTTACACACGTATTGGCTCAATTTACATTCCTGCCTACTTTTTCCTCTCATTTACATGGTGTGCGAGTGACTCCTGAACAGGGCAGGAAGCCTTGTGGAAGAATGAGGAAATGGGCCATTTCTGAGAACACAGTGGAATAGAAGCAGAGCAGCATATGTTGGGATTTGAATGGTCAATCGATGAATAACCCAGAGCGGTGTTTTTCTGTGCAGATTGGCAGGCATTGTGTAGTGATATCTGTGTGTACGTGTAAGAGAAAGGGAGAGCGAGAGATGGGGGCATGGAGCAGTGGGGATTCATCCTTCCCCAAAGTATTACGCAGTGGTCAAAAATATTTGCAATGCCAGGAGGTATTTTGAAAAATATTTGGAAAAAATTCAATACCATGCTGACCTTTTGCTGGGCATTTGTGAACAGATTCACTCTGTCTAATATGGCTCAGAGTCAGGGAGGATCTGCTATTCTATCATGTTCTTGATTCTAAATTATGTTAATCTATTCTGCTTGTACATTTTCTTTGATGCCTTTGTTCAGATCATTTAATTTTAAAGTCAGGGTGGGATACTACAAATTTAGCAAAAACAAGAAACTACAGTTTTGATTGACACATACTGGGCAATAATTTGCATAGTGAAACTGACAGTTGCCTTTATTATTTATAATAGAAATACATTATACTGTATGTCATCCAAAAGCATTTATTTGCTCTTTGGTAGATGTGTACAGAAGTACATTATATTTATTGTATATTAGTGATTTTTCTCACATAGTAACTACATGATATGTGTAGATTTTTATCTATATGATTGTTGCAGCAATGTTCACTTGGACCTTCTTACTGATGACATTATATACAGGATGTGCTTCATTCTGCAAGGTACCACCACAAGAGGGCAGAAAGTATCCAAACACAGTCTCATGAATTTACTGTCTAATGCATTTGTACTATAGAGCTATTGATTTTTAAGATACTGATTTTGTTGTAGAATATAGTGACTAAATAGATGCAATTACACAGTTTGTTGTCAAATACACACCTGTATACATCTCAAATATTACAAAGGGTGCTATGTTTGCCAAAAGGATGTAAGAAAGAAAAAGAAATGTGTTACTATATATAATGAGCTGATAATTAAAAAAAATACTAAAACATCAGTGAGCCTACATCATCAGTGAAGTCTAAGTTTAACTTTCAATTAGTAACACTGAGTAGACTACAGATTCATCCAGAAACAATTCATATTTTCACATTCATTATTTTCCAAATTTAAATTCAATATATTGTTGTTATGCAGACAAACAATTATTTGCTACATGCATACAACAGAAATCTTGGCTTTCAGTCTGTAAAAGAAAAAGTATAATACTCAAATAAAATAAGGCTGTGCTGTCTGTTGTACTCTGCAGTGTTGAGACTTTGCTGACTAATCAGCACTCGAATGCTAATCGATGCTTGTTGGGGTGGATTCGTTGTCCCATACAGCAGCAGGGGATGATTAAAGTAACACAAACCTGCATTATATAATCCTCCTGATTAGCTATTACTTTACTCACAGTGATATACTAATGACACAGTCCAACAGAGACAACCACATGACTGACTGACTGACTGATTTACTGGTAAAGCTAAAAGCACGATGTTATAAAGTATAAATACATTTAACATGCTTAGTTTGAGGATCATGTGTTTCAGTGGTTCCATTACACTCTGCTACGGGCACAGCAATACTGTCATGACGGCGGTAATTTAAATTTAAATTACTTCAACCATGATGTGATGCCCTGTTAGAAAAGTTTGCATTATGCTGCGTGAAAGTGTTGCCGTGAACATGGCATGCCTCTTAATGGAATTGTTTGCCTCTTTAATTGGGTGTGTGTGTGTGTAGTTTACAGACCTTTACATCTCCCAAACATGACTAAGCACTAGAACAACAAGCCTAATATATTCTGTGGCTGTTGTAAGGAAAGAGAAATACCGTGAAATGTGCAGTGAAGTGAATCAAAAGGTTCCAGACAGGATCTGACACTGTCATTCATTCAGCACATATAAAAACCCATTTGTCACTGAAGCGTACTGTATTATCTGCAAACTACTGCGAGAGCATATGTACAGTGGAGCGCTAAGCAAACCCACCACAACTAACCAGTATTTGTTGCCATTTTTATACTGTATATAAATATTTTTTAAAAATTCAATATAAACAAAGATAACAAGGGAAGTGTTTTTATTCTGGTACAAAATATTCAAAATAAGATACTGTTGAAATTATAACTTGTCCCTCCACTGTCCCCTCTACCTCTCTATCATTGCCCAGATGCTTTCTTTTCCCTTAGACAGAAGCCAGCATGAAATACAGCTTGTCCTTCAACTAAAAGATTTACAGCACAGCTCACAGACTTGTTTAATACATCAACAAGCCACAATGCATACACATTTCAGCATTGATCCCGCAGACAGCAATATTACCTTTATAATGGTGTGTAAATACCAGTTCGTGTTACCAAAAATATGAGGGGTTTTGGACAATTTAATGAACAGAAAATGTTCTGAGAGCGTGCCATTTGTTTACTTAGCTCTTCCTTTCATCCTGAGGTTGAATGAAGGCTAACGTCAATCATACCTCTGGACCTGAGTTGTGTACCACTAACTCCCAGTCTTTGCCCCTTATTATAACATAAGTTAATTGAATCTTACTGCAGTACTGCTTTCCAGATGCTTCTGTGTGTATAAAGGTACAAAAGTGATGGTGCAGGCATAGTAATATTTGCACTTTAGAGTATTTCCACTGAATATCAGTTTGCTCTGGTCAGACATTTAAGAGAATAGTTCTAGCTTTGTAA